TTCCGAGTCATCCCCCTCACCAGCCCCGACGAACCACCGCATCTCATCTGGCCAGCCGAAACATTGCACAACCAAGACCACCCAGACCGCGTGGATCGACAGCAAGAGCCCACCTCTTTTTTCCAAGTCGAGCCTGCTTTTCACGACATGCCTGAGCTTCTTCCCGCCGAGACCGACATGCCTGAGTTTCTGTCTTCCGAGCCCGCGACTAACGTCTGCCCAGCCGAACCCGCGGTTCACGAGTCAAGTGAGTCAAGTGAGTCGAATCCCGAGTCAAGTGAGCCGAGTGGCGAGTCAAGTGAATCAAGTGAGTCAAGTGAATCAAGTGCCGTGTCAAGTGCCGTGCCAAGTGAATCGAGTGAGTTTTTGGTTCCAGCACAGAGGAACTTTCAGTGTTTTGGAGAGTTTGACTTATTTGCCCCTTTGTCTTGTGAATCTGTCTGTCATGTCCCGGATTCTCTGTTCCCGCCCAGCCTCCCTCTCCCACCACCTCTCCAAAATACTGTTTTATGTTTGGATGATGTTTGTCTGGACCTTCAAGCTCCTTCCCAGTTCACAACCATTTTTGCTGCCCAATCTTCGCCTCCCCCCATCAGCCCCTCTGTTCCACCTCTGCCTCCTCTCAGGGGTGTGGTTTCACTGCTGGACTGCTGGGGGTCATCTCACCCTGGGCGTGAGGACCCCGTGGCTTCGCCTCCAGCCTCTGTACACTCCACTCCACTTCGACCCGTCGCCCTGACTCCTACGCCTATGCTCCAACCACCCTTGATGTCTGCAGTGACCATCGGACATTCGGCTTCACCGGGCTCCCTCGGTACTTCGGCTCCACCTGGGTCGGACATCGCACCACCTTCGCTGCGGACTTGCGGGTCGTTCAGTGCTCTCCGACCCTCCACCCCTTCGGCTGCGGTTTGCTCCGCCCTCCCTCAGGCTCCACCTCTGCCCTCGGTCACTCCTGCTCAACGTCAGCCCTCCGGATCCCTGTTTCCACCTCGGGGGGATGTCGCTGCGGCTCTGTCGTGGTCTCCTAGGTCTTCTGTGTCCTGTCACTCCTTCGGCTCTCCGGCGGCACGGTGGGCTCCACCTTCCACGTTGTCATCGCTTCCTGTCATCACCATGAGACCTGCCGGCTGTCTTTCCCCATGGCTCCTCCCTCCAGCTATGCCACCGTGGAGCACAGTTCGGTTTAGGCGCGAGGTCGCGCCTTCCGGGAGGGGGATGTAATGTCACGGTTTCCCCTGGTCCTGTCCCACACTACACTTCCCAGCATTCCCCTGGATCCTCACCTGCATGCACTCTCCCTGATTATCACCTGCACCTCGTCTCCTCATGATCACCACTCACGCTGCATAAAAGCCTCAGTCACCCTACACTCCTGGTCCGATCTCGTCTATTCTGGTCCCTGGTTCCCAAGTAATCTTCTAGAGACATTTCTGGTATTTTTGGTATTCCTAGTATCTTCTAAATATTTGTTTTACCTTTTATTTTGGAGTCTGCATATCGTGTATAAATAAAGCCTAAGTTTATTTTACCTGTTCCTGAGCGTTGTGTGACAAATGAGTTTTTTTTTTTTTTTTAAACAATCCATTTCAGATCAGTTTTCTTGAGAAGGAACACTGCATAAGATATTTAGGCCTGTTTTCAAGTAATGTAATTTAAATGTAATTGTTTTTGGATATACTGCACTGTCAGATGTTTTAACTTATTTTAATATTGTTTATACTTCAAACAAGTTAAAAATCTGCCTGTACTTTGCAACTACATGTCAACTAACTTTTATTAGAGTATTAGTAGACTCCCTGCTTAATATCTGCTAACTCTTTACTGTGATGGTCCTCCAACAGACAATCTACTAACTATAAGTAACTTTGCAAGTACGTCAACTGATTCTAACCCTAACCCTACCAGTCTATTAATACTCTACTAACACTCTAATAAGAGTTAGTAGACATGTACAGTAGGTGCAATGTTACTTATAGGCAACAGAATGTGTTAAAGGGACCATCAAAATAAAGTGAAACCAAAGTTTACAGTGTAGCCATAGATTAGCCAAAACAACTTAAGTAATGTCAATTCAATTTCAGTATCCCAAAGTTAATTGGTACTGTGTCCTATTAATTAATTTTTAAAGTGTGTATAATATGGAGGGTTCTTAATACTTAAAACTAGGTCACATAAGTAAATAATTGGTATATTTTATTAATATATGGTATATATTTTATTATTTTGTATTGAGCAAGTTATATTGTTAATACAACTAAAGTGTGTCGAGGTGTTCAATATACTATGGCCTTGGGCACCTTTTGTATAATGGTTACTTTAGAAAAGCACCCAAGAAAACCCCCCAACAGACCAGCCTTTGTTTTTAGTAAATACATTTAGTAAATATGGTCATTTTTATTGCAGAAATAGGGACCATTCACACAGAACATGTTTTTGCGGGTTAAAAACGTGAGACGCAGGTCAGTGAAATGGAAAAAAATGCTATCTTCTTTTAGCTTGAGGTCCGCATTTTTAGAACATTTTTGCAAAACACTGCAAAAGAAGCAAGACGTGAGAGCAATGGTCTCATTCTGTGTGAACGACCCCTTAATATGCTTGGACCCTTTTCCACTATTCCTGACAAACTCCAATGACCAAAAATAAAATGTCATAAAATGTTCTCTTTTGTCAACAACCCAATTACTTTATTGAAAATGTTGAACATTGTGTTAAATGTATTTTTTGTACTGTGACCTCTTGTCTTTCCAGGTCACAGCACAACTACTTGCGTATCACTCGCATTCTGAAAAGCCTTGGTGAGCTGGGCTTTGAAAGCTTCAAGCTGCCCCTGGTGCGTCTGCTTTTGGAGGAGGCACTGGTGGAGGGCACATTACCCAACATGCGTCACAGCGCACTGGAATACTTTGTCTACACACTGCGGCACCACGCTCAGAGACGCGCCCTGCTTCGCTTCGCCCAGCGCCACTACCACCCGCCCGAGAACTTCATCTGGGGGCCACCCAGGAAGAAACGCATTCCGGCCTCTGGATCCACAGGGACAAGAGTGGGAAAAAACGAGGCGGTGGAGAGGAGCGCGGGCAAAGCCAGGTCACCTAGGGAGGGCAGAAATCATTTTGAGAGGGAGGTGGAGGACTTGGACAAGAGGAAGAATGGAGAGTGGAAAACAGCAAAAGGGTCCAAGGTCGTCCTGCAGGAGTGCAGGGGGAGGGTAGATCTAGAAGAATATATTGAGACCATTCCTCTGTAAGAATAGAAAGAGAAGGATTCTGGAAATGCTCAAGTAGCCTGAGCTGAGCTTCAAGTTAGGCAAAGTAATGGCACAGCAATATTATTCCATACTATTGCCTTTTAGAGACTTGTTTTGTGAACAACTTGACTGTTTGACTTTTTGTTTTTTTGAAATACGAAGTGTTTTTTCTAAACTCTGAATACTTTTCAAAGTGTTAGCGGATGAATTTCTCTGCTGTAATTCTTACTTGCAGCCCTCTGGAGAGTTCTTAGCACATGTACAAGTGTTAGTATATATATATATATAAGTGCTACCTGAGCACATTGTGTGAAATATTGCACTTTTTGTGTATTCAGTCTTCCCCTGTGAGAGAATATTATCTTAATCTACAGGCTTTGAGAATAGGCTTTATTTGCTAATCATAAGGCCGACTCTCAGACAGACGTGTCTTTTTTGAGTTTAGAGCTTGCTGAAGTTTCTTGTTATGGATAGGCTACTCGTAGCTCCTTGCAACAGATCATAATAATGTGTAGTCAGTGTGAATATACTTGCAGGAATTTTCAGGTAATTGATCTTCCATGTTTTTATAGGTACGTGTGAGACTTTAATCCAGTTTTCTCAAAAACGTCTTGCAATATAAAGTGCCTCTTCTTCCGTTTGTTACAGCATGTGTCGCTCTATAATTTTGAGTCTAAGTAGTGTGCCGTGTGTGGAAAAACGATAGGCAACGCAAAACGAACGTGAATTTTATGTTTTTTGATTAAACAAAGTATCTATCAAATTATGTAACTTTTTTATGAAACTTGAACAGATAAATTCTGTTTTGACGGCATTAAATAAGTGTGGTGTGACAGATGGCAGGTTGGAGTAATGGCCGTTGTAAAAGGTCTGCATGAACACAATTTAAATATATTCGCGTAGTTGTAAAAATGAATGTACTGTGAGTGTTTTATTATGGATGCTCGCTGAAAAAGTGTATTTTGGAGAAGTTTGTGAGGATCGGTGGTGGGCATCAGACTTGCAGTATTGATTCGGAGAGGAAGGGGGGCCTTGGAGTCAAAAAGGTTGGGAGCCACTGGGTTAGGGGTTATTTTTTGTTGTAGCAATTCACCTTTTCTGCACGCCCATTACTCTGACCTGCAGCCCTGTCTCGATCATGGTGTGACAGAGCGCGCGCGTTAACCCATCTTCTATTCCTACTAGTTAAAGCACAAAATAAACATGAATGGACTTCCAAAGGTCTGTTTAAAAATAAAGTAGCTTACAACTTACTAAAATGTATCATTTCTCTCGTAACTGGCAAAGAAGAGTTTTCAACGGCGGAAAGACGTCAATAAAACAGTTTGCGAACATGGTAATGTTATACATTTACCTCAGGAAAGCCATTCAGTGGCCATAGCGTTAGCTAGCTGGAAAAGTAAAATTATAGTTTATATATGCACTGCACACTATTATAAATAAACTTTATATTTTACTTTGCCTGTTATTGTCTAAATTATAAGAATGAACTTACTAATTCTGACAGGAACTGTGGAATCTTTAGACGTCATTTTCTCAAAAAAACGTTTTTTTATGACAGCCACAAATTCAATTATGATAGTTATCTCGACGGCGGTTTGAAAGATAATGGTAGTGTAATGTTATAATGCAAAAAAGTTGCTTTTTCATTTAGTCCATATAGCCTAACTCAAAACTAAGTGATGGAGCACTTACTGTATTCTCTGTGTGAGAGTGTATATGCTGCCTTACTCTCATCATACTTAGTGTTTATGTGTGGACAATCTGGGGCAGGGCTATTGATGGTCACTATCCACATAAAATACAAATAGCCTACATTTTTAAAGCAGATATTAATGGATCAAGTGTGTATGTTACTCTATGTGTTCCACACTGCTGTTTCAGAGTGTACCCAGAGGTCTAGCCATACCTCCACAGCACAGATGTGTGTGTGTGTGTGTGTGTGTGTGTGTGTGTGTGTGTGTGTGTGTGTGAATCTGTTCTGCCTGTTTTAGTTTCTACCGGCACACAAAAAAGAAGTGAACATTTTCAGGAAAGACCCATTTCTTCCGTAATAATGACTGAAGTTTATCTTCCTTTCTTTTTCATTAAACGATGAAGGCTCTCTGTCCTCTTCCTGTTTTTCTCGCAGCCTCTTTCCCTCAGTCAATATTTGGATTGAGCACACTTTTCTGTTTGCCGTCTAACCCAGTTCGTACCCTGGGGTTCATTAAACCCCGTCTCTCTGAATGTGAGAGTCTCATCCCAAATGGACAGATGACGCTTGTGTCTAAAATATGCCTTCATCTGGTCATTTTTTGAATGCAGAAATGCATGTGGTATGGCAGTTGGTGAAAAGAAAAATGACATCTGATGGGGAGATTGAAAGAAGTAAATTTGTTCATAAATGTCTTTTTCAACTTCTACTAAGAAATACATATTAAATATTTGCTTGCTTATCTCTTAAGTTCACTTGAATTTGTTCTTGATTTTTAGTTGTGAAGTAATAATGCTTTGGAAGCCAGTCTGAAACCAGTTTTTTTTAGGAGACAGGCTACTTTTATACAAAAACATTGCCTTTAAGTCAAGCAACGAGACTTCAGTTTCAGACATAGCTAGTGACTGGGAAACAAATAGCCATCTTCTCTTTGTCCATCTTGGTCTAAAAGACTGTTGAATCCACATTTTAGTGTTTCTTGTGCCATAATTGTTGGAAACAGTTTGACTGGCCTAATATATGGCACTATAAGTGTTTTAACTGTTGGGAAGTGATAATTTGTTATCAAAGGAATTGTGACGTTTCTATTGTGGCCTACTGTATAATAAAGTGCAGATCTTTGACGAATTGTAAGTGTGTGAGCGTGTAAATGTGGCTACTGAATTTTGATGTTTTGCAAACTTGGGACAACTGCTATTATGCATCTGTACATTTAATTCAATTGAATTTAACTGAATTAAACTATGGGGCCAGTTGTCAGAGGAGAAATGGGTATGTTATTATTATGACTTTTCAAATATATATTTATGCACTTAAAAAGATAAATGCACATATAAAACAGTTCTTTGTGATAAAAAATGCTGAATAAATAAATCGAACCACATTAATTTCATCACCTTTTTTTATTAAACAGCACCTTGGAATACTTCTGATTAGTCAATCACAGCATTATGTGTTAATATCATTTATAATTACATATATAGTATATATAATTAAAACTATAATAATGATATCAGAATGATACGGGACAGCTTTTGGGTCCCTATGTTTTGCAATAGCAACCGACTAACTGAAGGTCATCGCTTACATATGTCATTTCAAAACAATCTCTCAGCTTAAGATAAACCAGCCCAGTGTGTTGTGTCTTTGACAGAGGACAAGTTGAATATCACTCTGTCCCGTCCCATAATCCATATCGCTCGGTTCGGTTGAGAGGATTTTTAAGTCAGGGAATACAGTTAAAATCACAGAAGAGTGGTAGGCCTACCATATGGTCTGTTCAGGCAGCCTGGTCCCATGTGGGCTTAAGGAGACCATGTTTGCTGTAATCAGCTTGAGCCTTGCTGTTGCTTGTCAAACTGTCAGTGTGTGGAAGCGGTTTTCCTGACGTACACCTGTGAGTGTGACTTTGCCTGCCAGCTCTTCAGTCAAAGAGTTGTCAGACACAAACCTGGCCCGCCTCTCCTGGTGCGCTCCTGCACATCTTCTCCTGTGGTTTTCTTTGACTACCAGTTGGTAGAACATGCTCATGTTCTATCGCAAACAAAAAAGTACCATGATATTTGCCATGTTTTAGAGACATGTACCATGGTAATATTGTGAAATATTGTGAGTGTCATATAAATATGATGGTATGTGTATGGAAATCATTCAGCAATGGTATATGGGTGATCTTTTCAACTACGGACGCATATAAAAAACTATTTAATGTCTGTTGTCGGTAATATTTTAAAAATGTTTTTAAAATAAATATTTTTCTTTCTTTTTTTTGCTCACCAAGGCTGCATTTATCTGTTCAAAAATACAGTAAAAACAGCAATATTACTACAATAATTTTTTTAAAATATATTTTGTTATGCAATTTATTCCTGTGATGGGATAGCTGAATTTTCAGCAGTTACTCGAATGATGATACTCACATGATCCTTCAGAAATCATTCTAATATGCTGATTTGCTGCTCAAGAAACATTTCTTATAGGATCCATATATCAGCACTTGTGCTGCTCAATTTTTTTGTGGAAACCGTGACTTTTTTCCCCAGAATTCTTTGATGAATGAAAAGTTCAAAAGAACAGCATTTATTTCAAATAGAACTCTTCAGTATCATTATAATTTACTGTAACTTTTGATCAATTTAATGCATATTTGCTGGTTACATAATAAAATAAAATATATTTACAGTAGGGCTCTGCATCTGCTCTGTAGGGCTCACAAGTGAAATTAACCAAATTTTTGTGTTGTGAGACGATAATAATTGTAATTTTGGAAATATTTGTTATGCAGTGCAAGGGAAGAGGAGAGTCAAGGATCTAATTGCAGCAAAATATTTTTTTTAAAACACAAACATATCAACATCTTAATAAACACGCAAAGACAACGTATTTAAGTATAATTGAACAGACACGGTCTTAATTTTGTTTGTTTACTGACCCAGTATGCATCAGTTAGCAGTTAGTTAAACACTGTTTTACTCAACTACTGTGGTTGCTCTGTGTTAAATGTGCTGAGTGGAAGGCAGCGTGGCCGTACTGATCAGGAGTGACAGAATGAGGTGGAGGGGTTGTGTGTTGGAGAGCGGATACTTCCCATGACTCACTGCTCTAGTTTGTGTGTGTGTGTGTGTATGTGTGTGTGTGTGTGTGTGTGTGTGTGTGTGTGTGTGTGTGTGTGTGTGTGTGTGTCTATCTCTTGCTGTGCTGTATAGTCTCATTCAATTAGAAGCTTTAAAGCTTCATACCATGAACATAACACAGAAACACCGGCATCAACCACAGGTCAGGCATGAATGGATCAGTCAGCGTGTTTAGATGAGGCCTACTGAATGATGCAGAGCCCTACTGTTTACATGGCCCAAGCAACTGTGATATCCCAGCAGTCATTGCGCCTTTTTACTGGAATTCTAGCTTACTACTTGCTGAATACTATGCATTATTTACTGATTGCTGTATTTTTTGTTCAAAATAGAAAGTAAACATTTCTTTAGATATATTTCCTTTTGGCAATGGACAGTATAGCGCAGAACAATTTAGAATGCTTGTTACCTTTTCATTTAATTCAGTGCAACTCCAGACAGACACACAAACCTTGATTTTCTACAAACCTTGATTTGCTATTTGGTATTCGGTGTAATTAAGGGGAGGGAACATTCTAGAGAGAATTTGATTGGATAAAAAATTAAATGCTGTTCTTTTTTTAACTTTCTATTCATCAAAGAATCCAGAAAATGGTATGATGGTTTCCACAAAAATATTAAGCAGCACAACTGTTTTCATCATTGATAATAATTGGAAATGTTTCTTGAGCAGCAAATCAGCATATTAGAATGAATTCTGAAGGATCATGTGACACTGAAGACTGGAGTAATAATGCTTAAAATTCAGCTTTGCATCACAGGAAACAAAAAAATATTAAATAGAAAATAGTTCCTTTCGATTGTAATAATATTTTACAATTTTACTGTATTTTATTGCTCAAATAAAGGCCATCTTGGTGAGCATAAGAGATTTTTATATAAGAATATTTTATACATAAGAATTTTTTTAAATCAACCCCAAATATTTGAACGGAATAAGATGAGTATAGCCTATTTGTGGTTTATATATTTGCTCAAAGTATGTGCCAGGTTAATATCCGACTGACATTACTTTCAAAGTTAACCGATTTCAACCCACAAAATTGTGGTTTCATGCGGTCTTAAAGGAGCAATGTTCATTTAATCCTGCTGACCGCAATGATAAGAGTATAAGCAGCTGTTTACCTCACATCTTCCAGCAACTCTTTCATCAGCTCTCTCTCTCTCTCTCTCTCTCTCTCTCTCTCTAGTGATATCATGTTGAAAATTTGACCTTGAGTCGAGTCTATCTTCTGAGCTCCACTGAACAGCTAGATAAACATGTTTTGCCAACATCTCTTTCAGAAATGATAGTAACTGTTTTCCTCCCTGGTATTTTATTGTGAAATTATATTCTCAACTAAAGACAAGTACTTTATTAATACCATGATCATGAATATGCATTCATGCTTCAGGCTATCGGGGTTTATTTGTCATGCCTACTGGTTTATAAGTCCATTACGACTGAGGTTGCAGGGTTGGTAGTGTCATATATCTAGTGCAGATGGGTTTTTACACAAGTCTAGGGACTGTCCGTTCCACACTATTTGAATTTTGTCCAGCTGACAAATACGAGTGACTTCTCCTTTTAGAGTGTTTCTCTTTCTTTCTGTCAGCTTCACTGAAACTGAACTTCTGAACCCCAGACCTGTAAATTAGAGTCTTGTGATACAGTTTTTTTTAGCACCCGGGTTCACAACCTTACCTAATTAATTTTTAAATAGAATGTACAGTGTTTTAATTTGACATTTATTCACATTTATATATACAGAATGCAATAATCATGCAATTTAATGATGAAAGATTCATTTATTAAAAAACATTTATTCAAACTCACTGATAATCTAAAGGGTTAAAAATGGGTGTGACGCTTATGTATGTTTTACCAAAAGCTCAATTACTTTGCAAACTGTCATACGATATAGATCGAACTGTTTGTGTTCTCACTTTGATTCCCCATTGGGATGAGGGTAACTTGAAACCCCAGATGTTCTTTGATGGAAACTTATGTTTTCTGTAAAGAGGAAGTGTTGATAGGACTCATAGCAGTGCGTGTAATGAAACGGCCAGTTATGTCAACTCAATTCTTCACTGTTAGCAGCCGTGTGGCTTCAGATGACCTTCCTTGAGCCATGAAATGACAAAGAGCATTAATGCCTTTGTCCAGGATATTATCCAGCCATTACACAGCTGTTCCCATGCAAGCTTAATACACCAAGTGTGTAAAAATGAGTCACACTTTGCCAGTAAGCACATACTTGCATCTTGGTTAATTCCCTTTTTACACCAAGGTTTGTGCAGTGACCCCTGCCAATACACAGTTCAAACATTTGGATCGGTAAGATACTTTTGCACTCTAAAAAATGCTGTGTTGTTTCAATCCATGTTTGGGTCAAATATGGACAAACCTAACCGTTGGTTTATTTTTTAATTCAATTTTACACCCAATGGTTGGGTTTGTCCATATTTGACCCAAATGTGGGTTGAAACAACTCAGCATTTTTTAGAGTGTGTTGAAAGAAGTGTCTTTATGCTCACAAAGGCTACATTTATTTGATCAAAATAAAGTGAAAACAGTAATATTTTATTACATTTTAAAATAACTTTTCTATTTGAATATATTTTAAAATGTAATGTATTACTGTGATGGAAAAGCTGAATTTTCAGTAGTCATCACTCCAGTCTTCAGTGTCACATGATCCTTCAGAAATCATTCTAATAATTTGGTGCTTAAGTAACATCTCATCCTCCTGGATCTGTCTGCTGCCTTCGACACTGTGAACCATCAGATCCTTCTGTCCACCCTCTCATCACTGGGCATCACAGGTACTCCTCTCCACTGGTTTGAGTCCTATCTCACAGGTAGGTCCTTCAGGGTCACATGGAGAGGTGAGGTATCCAAAGCACATCAACTGACCACAGGAGTTCCCCAGGGTTCAGTTCTTGGACCGCTCCTCTTCTCCATTTACACCACATCACTGGGACCCATCATACAGGCACATGGTTTCTCTTACC